GCAAACATGTATTGCCGTCGTGTCTCGTGACGGTTTTGCGACTCGTGTGGTGGATACAGGTGTTGCAGATAGAGAGAAGAACATGATGGCTTTTGCGAAGGCAACCCTGGAGTTGCTCAAAGACGTTCTCGCAGGAGACGTTAAACTGGAGCACAGCGTCGGCCTGACTCGGAGGGTTCGGAGGCTGCCAGCCCGAGGTTTTGAGCATTTCAAGCTATAGTATAAGGTTTCTCCATTTCACATCTCATCGTCACCCACTGTCTTGGCTACTTTTATCGCGGCTGTTTACCATCGCATACACATTGCATGCATACCGTATTACCTACCTATGCTTCATATGTCGTTGACACGTGATGTGTGTGATCTACCTACACTCCAAACCGATCTAACCGACTCTTGTTCATCTCAAACTCCGACGTCAAATGAGTTGATCGTGCGCAGAGCTCATCAGCCTCGATCTTTCGTGACGGTCACGGGCCCAACTTGAAGGCTACCCAATAGATCGGTACTAGCCGTCGTGAATACATCCCTTGCCGTTACCTCATGTAAATAACTACATGCACACTGAGTTCAGCGCTCGGCATCTGATTTGTTTCTATCATTTCAGTTCTGAATTTCAATGTGCATGCACATTGCGATTGAAACATATGTCGAGCAGCCTTGAAGAGATGTCGTCCCAGCCATCATCATCAGGATAAAGATGTGCTCATGGATGGTTTCCTTGGAGGTTCATCTCAAGTGGTCTTAGGCAAGTGATTACCACAACAGAATTGAAATCTGTTTCTCTTGGAATGTGCATGTTCAAAACCTGCTGATGACAAGGTTTTTTCGATTGGAACACCTTGACATTCACTCTTGAGTGGTTTCGTTTAAGGTTCATCTTAACTGGTTTTAGACATGCGGTCATCACAACAGAATCAAAATCTGTTTCTCTTGGACTGTGCAGGTTCGAAAGCTTCTGACAACGAGGTTTTTTCTATCGGAACACGTCTTGGCAGTTACTTATGGATGGCTTCGTCAGAGGTGCATCTTAAGTGGTCTTAGACAAGTGGTTACTACACCAGAATCAAAATCTGGTTCTCATCACCTGCGCAGGTTTGAAACTTGCCGACAACAGGTTTTTTTTTATCAGAACAAGCCCTGATGATTCGCTCAGGGTTTCCTTACAGGTTCGTCTCAATTGGCTTTAGGCAAGCGGTCATCGCAACAGAATTGAAATCTGTTTATCTTGTCCTGCACAGGTTCGAAACCTGATGACGACAAGGTTTTTTGTTGTTGAGTATACCTTGACATTCAACCATGGATGGTTTCGTTGAAGGTGCATGTTAACTGGTCTTAGACAAGTGGTTACCACTACAGAGTTGAAATCTGTTTCTCTTGGACCGCGCAGGTTAGAAACTGGCTGAGCGACAGTTGGTTTTTAATCAGAATACGCCCTGAAAGTTCGCTTATGGATGGTTTCCTCCTAGCTTTATCTCAACTCCATCCTGGTGCAAGCGGTTACCACAACAGAATCTAAATCTGTCTCTTGAAATGTGTCAGTGCGGGTTCGAAACCTACCGACCACAGGATTTTTTCTTCTTCCGAACACGCCTTGAAGATACACTCATGGACAGTTCCTCGGAGTTGTATCTTAAGTGGTCTTAGCCAAGTGGTTTATGGAGTCAAAATCTGTTTCTCTTGGGCCGTGCAGGGTCGAAACCTGCCGACGACAAGGTTTTTTCTATCCGAACATACCTTGACATTCACTCATGGATGGTTTCATCGGATGCTCATCCTCACTAGTCTTAGCCAAGTGGTTACCACTGCAGAATCAAAATCTGTTTCTCTTGGCCCGCGCAGGTTAGAAACCTGCCGAACGAAAGGTTTTTTCCTATCCGAACAACATTCCTTGATGTTCACTCATGGATAATTTCCTTGGATGCTCATCTCAACTGGTCTTAGCTAAGTGGTTACTACAACAGAATCAAAACCTGTTTATCTTTGCCTGTGGAGGTTAGAAACCTGCCGAACGAAAGGTTCTTTTTCTATCGGAACACACTTTGACATTCATTCATGGATGGTTTCCTTGGATGCTCACGTTAATTGGTCTTAGCCAAGTGGTTATTACAACGGAATCAAAATCTGTTTCTCTGTGTCTGCGCAGGTCCGAAACCTGCCGAATGACAGGTGTATTTTCTATTTGAACATGTCATTCGGATGGTTTCCTCGGAGGTCTATCTAACTTATCTTAGCCAAGTCGTTGCCACAACAGAGTCAAAATCTGTTTCTCTTGGAGTGAGTTCGTAACCTACTGACAACATTTTGCGGTGTAGAGATCCTGAGTATAATCTGTGTTCAGACTCCTCAGACTTCATGGGGACTACCTACTTCTTTTATTTTCACCGCTTTGGAATCTCCAACCGTAGGTCCCTGTTGGCTCGCCGCGCAACAAAAGAAGTCAGTTCCTTTGCCCCCTTCTCGGAGGGACATATTATGACCTGTCACAGTCAAAGATTTTCTGCTCGTCAGGTATGCTCGTTCCAGAATTTCTGGATGGCGCTGAATTTGCGCCCAAATACCCAAACGCATCCTAGAAGCTTGGACATCGTGACATTACACACCGACCTTTCGAGGAAACTGTCCCCTGCTACAAACCGTATAAAGCTCGACGCTCACCTTCATCAAACCAGTTCTCAATCGCACTTACTTCAAGTCACAGACTCTCAGCTCGTCTCATCACGTCTAGCAATCTGATATTTCAGTTTCCGGCATTTACAAGACCTGTAACGTCAATTTCAAGACTAATCAGGTGTTTGACTTGCAAGGCGGAGGTGTCAAAGATGGCACTTCTATCATCGGTCGAAGTAACGTAAAGTTCAAAACCAACGAGATAAATGTTCGCTGGTGTCGATTCTGTGACTCGCAAGGCGTAGGCTTGCAAACCAACACGACAGATGTTGCAAGTGCCGAGCGATGACCGGAACGTTTGCGCAAGCGGGTGACTTTCTGAATAACGTAAGTAACGCAGGTTCGCGTCGAAGAATTCTTTTAATTCATCGTATCTTCGAATATGTCAGGGCGAAGGTCGTCGGCAGCTCCACCATCGCATATTGCTTTCTTCGACCGCCATCCTTGGACAATACGATCGGACAGAAACCTGCATCATATTGTTGTACATCACTGGTGTACGTGCAGGATCCAAACCATTGATGAGACGTTCGCTTGTTCTCTTTCCGAAAGCGTTGATTTCACTCGTGTACGCGCTCGTCACGTGAGAGAGAATAACTCACGCTTCGCGTTTACATGTCGAGCTTCAGGTCACCGATAAGGCGGACGCTAAGCCCCGTCTAAGTGTAGCTATGAGACAATGGTTTGGGTTGGTAACCGAATGGCGTATTCAGTGCTCCGTTTTTTTTCTATCGGAACACGTCTTGAAGATTCACTCATGCCAGTGGATGGTTTCCTCGGAGGTCCATCTTAACTGGTTTAAGCCAGGTGGTTACCACAATAGAATCGAAATATGTCGAACCTGTTCGCGACAAAGTTTTTTTTCCCTTTCGGAACACGCCTTGAAGATGCATTCATGGACAGTTCCTCGGAGGTCCATCTTCAGTGGTCTTATCCAAGTAGTTATCAAAGTCAAAATTTGCTCCTCTTGGACCGCGCAGGGTCGAAACATGCCGACGACAATATTTTTTTGTATCGGAACACTTGACATTCACTGATGGATGGTTTCCTCGGTTGCTCACCTTACCTAGTCTTAGCCAAGCGTTGTCACAACGGCATCAAAATCTGTTTCTCTTGGATTGCGCAGTTTCGAAATCTGCAGAACGACAAGATTTGTTTTCTATCAGAACACACCTTGACATTCACTCATGGACAGGATTATCGGAAATCCATCTAACTGATCTTCGCCAAGCGGTCACCACAACGGAATCAAAATCTGTCTCTCTTGGAGCTGGTTCGAAACCTGCTGACAACATTTTTGCGGTGCATAAATCCTCGGAGGTCCGCCTAAACTAGGCCCAGTCGTTGCACCGAAACCTCCTTTTTATGTAATAGTCTGTCCATGAAAAGGAATTCACCTTCACGCCTCGTCTCAGAAACGCAAGACATATCCCCGAGATGTATATGTGCCAACATAGATTCTCGACAGACCAGTGACCAAACCTGTCGGGATTCACTACCAAGCGAAAATTGACGTTAATAGGGCTGGAGGCCAGATGCACGTAAGCTAAGGACAGCGAGTCTGACAGTCAGGAAAATGATGTAATCTCCCCACCCTCACTGAAGCATCATCGTTGGACACCCCACTCGGTCGTTGGGTCTTTCAATATGACCGAGGATGACTTAAAAACTGAAGGTGGAAGGATTGAATGTGGCAGACTGAGCCACATCGTTCTGTGCAGAAATGGATATCGCGGCATTGCCGCGTTAAATTTGATAAGTGTCTCTGCAGTGCAGTGATTAGCTATCTATACCACTTGTGATCTTGCCGTGAGATTGGGACGGGTGGTATGTGTATGCATTATTATCTATGCTATATATAGTGTCAGCTTCACACTGTTAACTCTGAATACATAAACTGCAAGGATTGATCGATGATCGAGGGCGTCAGCTGAGAATCTTTACCCGTCACAGCGATGGAACCTGCAGAGGAACTTTGCGTTTGCTATCGTGGAGCGGCCTTAGTAGTGGCAACGAGAACGAAAGGAAATATTTGCTTTATTGAAGCAGATAGTTTTTCGGGTGGAAGCCCTGATGGCGGCCCCAACCTGTGCGAGAGAGAGCCGAGGTGAGCTGCAAGGGCGGGTGGGCATCCTCGCAGCCTCAAACCCAGCAGGTCTAGGTACCAGCCACCCGGGCCCCTGGAAGAGGGTGTGGTACTAGTATGTAGTCGAAGCTGACTGCCTTTAGGTACCAGTAGCAATGTAAGCTGCAAGGATAAGGGAGTAGTGGGTGGGGAAAAGAAAAGCAGAAGACAGCAGGCAGGTTTGAGCCTGCTGGAGCGTGGCGCGAGCACTGCGTGGTGTGGAGACAAGAGAGGCCACGTGCTGAACTGCCGCTGCCGCAAAGTCCTAATTCTAACCCCACACTCGTACCTCGCTTCGGGGTAGAATATCAATTATTCTTTCCCTCCAGCCTCTTTCAAGCCTCTTTTAAACGAGATTTCCAAACTTTCAAGGTCAACTTCATCAGCGCTTGCGGTGCAAAAACTACAACAGCTGGTCTCGTGTCGGCTTCCCTACTCTCCGTGTCTGGAGGAAGTAAGTGCTTTGTCGGAGGAGCGACAGTGTACACCACAAAGTCATGGAGGGTTTGGGCGGGCTGGACTGACGAGAACGTGGTGAGCTACCAGTATGTTTATCGCGCTGGCTTATCATTGTCATGGGCTGCTAATAGTCTTGCTCAGTGGACCCACACCGGAACTCGTCATAGAGCTCGCAACGAATGTCAGGGAGCGGATGGATGTGGCATACTGTATCGGGGAGTGGGGTGCTGCAGGTCCTACCGTCTTGGGACTGCCGATTGTCCATATGTGAGCTGCACTACACATTCTCGTACTCGCTGATAACTCGACGTTAACTCCTATGACTTACAGAGTAGGACAAACATATATTGCCGTCGTTTCTCGTGAAGGTTTTGTGACTCATGTGGTAAGCACAGGTGTCGCAGATAGAGAGAAGAACACGGTGGCTTTTACGAAGGCAACCTTGGTGCTGTTCAGGGACGTTCTTGCGGGTGACGTTAAACTGGAGCAGCGGCCTCGGGCAAAGGGTTCGGAACCTGCCAAACTTGAGCCTTTCATATCACTAAGGTGATCGTATATCCCCTGAGCACACAATGTCATACAATAGTGCTTACATCACTGCCTCTTTATCTTGATCATCGCCTCAGTCTCCTCTGCACTCAGTATACGTCCTTGCAACTCTTTCTCCACCTCCAACCCGAGTTCTTTCACACGTTCACGGTCTAATCCAATTAGTGCAATGTGTGCCCCTGGCTGAAGGAGCGGGTAAGAGCCTATCCGGATATTCTCAGGCTTAACGCGCTTCTGTAGAGCTGTAAGGAATGGCGCAATGGACGATTCCGGAAGTCTTCAAGCATCATCAGGAGCTTGATCCACTAGCGGTGCAGAAATAATGTCAATGACTTACGGAGTAAAGACTTGAAGCCGGAAGGGACGTGCATCTTCCGTGGGTAGAGGCAAGAAAGGCTTCAAGTTGTCTAGCAGCTTCTGGAAAAGTGATGGGATTCCTGGAAATATGCATAGCTTGCCTTCCAGTCGAACAACAGGCTGAAAATGTTCTTAGTGCACAATGCCACGCGAAGGGGAGAGAATGCGCACAACCCAGATGTCGCTAGCGACAAAAAGAACCTCGCCAGCTTCCGGAAACAGTGCCATACGTTTACGAGCGGTGCGTTGCTCCTCGCTCTGCTGCGTGAACCATGTGCGGTGTCGGCTGGCTTCTTCCATACGCGCGATGGTTTCATCATGGTATTTGAGCTCTTGTCCGAAAGACTTTGCGAGTGAGGCGTATGTGATATCTCGAAATGGAGGCATTCAGACCTCCAACTGTCACAACAGGGGTTGATGTACTATACCATCGTGAGTGGGCCCTATACCACCAGATGTGATGACGAAATCATATTTCTGGACCATCCTTCAGCTAGCCTCAAGACTAGAAACCCATGTTATCTCTTCTGATGACAACAAGGACGAATTTACTTACATCTCGAGCTCGTCGTCTGCAACTACCTCGATTCTCTGGCTGCATTGTCACACAAAGAATAAGCAGGGATATATAAAAAAGCTAGAGAAAACCTCACAGCTCAATACCATTCTCAAAACAGAAGCGCGCAAAGTAGTTCGAGTTACGGTCCAACGTGTTTCCATTCAAGATTTCATCTCTACAGTGTCGCCATGATTCCAATCGTGTGCTTTTCCACAGAAGATGGGACATACCCAATGATGAGAGCAGCAGCAGTCTTGATGTACCGTCCCTCTCCAAGTGGATTCTTCGGAATTGGGGAATTGGGGAAATTCAGGACCGGAGCTGGAGGCTTTGGTGAATTATGTTCAGCTTGAGAAGCTCCCATAACTGATGGGGGTGGCACTGGTAGTGATGAAGACATGGCCCACACCGATAAATAAATTGTCAAAGAGTCGACTAATGACCGACGACAGTTAAACAATGTCGAAGAATGACTCAGGGTGAGTGAGAGTTGAGCGCAGTAAGGTTGGAAGTCACATGTGAGATTCAGTGAGAAATGGCTGGACGATAATCAGATTGCTCCCTGCTAATTTTAAGTAGGAGACGCTCAAGATAGAGGTCGGAGTGCCGATCCGCTGGGCGAACTTTGTGTTGTGAGTTGTAAGTCTCCTATAGGTAGAAGGAAGACCAATATTGAGTTGCAATTACAACACACCTGATTGGACTTGGATCTGTACGAAGTTTGAAGCTCGCAAAAGCGAAGCACGACATTCATAAAGGTGTATCTGACATCCATCCATGTAAATTCCACTGTTGCTGGATACGCAAGAATCAGCCCAACTGTGCAAAGGATCCCCTTCATATTTTCTTTCCATGATCATGGTAGATGCGGGGGTTGCCGGTTGCCAGACGCCGCACCCAAACTGCAATACACATGACGTAAAGTTCGCACGATATTTTGGAAATTTTGGTGGCAGCCATTCAAGCCGAACGTACGTTCTTGCGCGTCACTGCCGTCTGTTCATTCCTCCACCATGGCTACTACCTCGTCAACCTCCTACTTCGAGAGAATACAAAACTTCGTGGCCGACAATAAAAAGGCAGTCGTTATAGGAGCAGCTGCTACCGCGCTCGCTGTTGGAGGTGTCGCCTACTATGCTTCAACCTCGCGCGGTCCAGGCAGTGACTCGGAGAAGGGCAAGACGAGAGACAAAAAGAAGTCTTCGAAGAAGAGGAAGACTGTCAATGATGCAGATGGGCCCATACTTGAAGAGATAAAGCCTAAGGTTGCCGACGAGGGTCAGTATCACTGCAATTTGGAGGCTCCCGCTCACTACCAAATAGAGGATGTGCTATCAGCGGAAGAGATCGCCGGGATGTCAGCGGAGGTCAGTACCTTCGAGACGGAGTTATTCATTCACTTCAACATAAGAGTCCCACAGGAGCGCACAAAACTGGCAGGCACGCTCAAGACCCGGGGTAACACGCTCTACCAGAACCGAAAGTTCCAGCAGGCAGTAGATATGTATACACGGGCAATTCAGGTGGCAACAAAATCAGAGCCTGTGTACTACAGCAACCGTGCGGCATGTGCGTTCTTCCCGTCAATATCATCATGATGCATGTCTAACTTGTTTATCAGGTTACATGAACATGACACCCCCTAAGTATGAGTTGACGGTCCAGGACTGTGATGAGGCACTACGTGCTGATGACAGCTATGTAAAAGCGCTGAACAGGCGTGGCAATGCACTTGAAGCCTTGTCTAGAGATGAGGAAGCTCTACGGGATTTCACTGCTGCCACTATCTTGGATAAATTCCAAAATGAGTTGGCTGCACAGGCTGTGGAACGCGTCCTGAAGAAGATTGCGACAGCGAAAGCTGCCATTATCCTTACGGTGAGTATGACAAATGAGGGAACCACTGTCACATTACTCATGGGCCTTAGACACGCGAACCTCGACTTCCCTCATTCACGTTTGTTTCAGCTTACTTTGGAGCATTCCGTGTCCGTATGTGGATTTACTTTCGTCATTTTCATCTCCAAAAGCTAATCTTGCACAGGTCCCCTACCCATACTCCCGGAGAACCCATCAACTGGCGATAACACTCTTATACTCGCATTACAAGCTTTAGAAGCTGCCGACTATGCGCACGCGGTCTCGCTCGTCAATGAGGCAATGGAGCAGGGTATTTCATGGGAAATAGGCAAAGCTGAAGCTCTCAACCTTCGCGGCACTTTCAAGTTAGCCATTCCTTACTCCCCTGAAAGTGCCGACTAAGTTTTGTATAGGTTCCTTATGGGTGACGTGTCTGGCGCTAAGGATGACCTGTATGAATCTGTCAAGATCCTTCCCTCCTCGACACAAAGCTGGGTGAAGATTGCGAGCGTGCACATGGAACGAGGCGAGGGTGCGAAGGCCTTTGAGTGCTTTGAGGAAGCGATCAAGCACAACCCCCAGGACCCTGACATCTATTACCACCGTGGACAAGGTGAGCAATTTGTTTCCCGTATGGCCGACCGTCGCTCATGGATTTGCAGTCCTTTTCATCACCCACGAATTCAAGGAGGCCGCAGACAACTACGCCAAGTCCAGCGAGCTCGATGACACATTTGTATTCTCGCATATCCAGCTTGCCGTCGCCCTGTACAAGATGGGTGAACTTGCGCGGAGCATGGCGACTTTCCGACGGACGATGACCAATTTCCCTCAACGGAGTGAGCCTCAGAACTACTAGTGAGTAGCTGCACTTGATGGTAGCTTTAATCTAATGACTCGGCAGTGGCGAGCTGTTGTTGGATCAACAGCGTTTCATGGAGGCCGTTGACAAGTTTGATCGCGCTGTGGAGCTCGAGCGTGCTAAGTATGAATTTTCTCTTTTTCTTCAATACATCGACTCACTTCCACTCAACCAGACCTCCCCCGATGAACGTTCTCCCTCTTGTTAACAAGGGCCTTGCTATCTACCAATGGAAACAAGACATCACCGCTGCAGAACAGTGTTGTGATGAAGCCTTGCGAATTGATCCTGAGTGCGAGCCTGCAGTTGCCACGCTTGCCCAACTGTTGCTGCAGCAGAGCAAGATTGACCGCGCTGTTGAGATGTTCAAGAGGCAAGCGGAATTGGCGCGCAGTGAACCTGAGCTGATCAATGCCCTTACGTACCAATATGTGAGTCGATGCGAGGGCATTGGCTAATTCTGATCTAACGAGGTGGTTCACAGGCAAGCACGGCACAGTTAGAGTTCACACGCAATTACCCCGCCATGGCGGAGCAATTGGCACAGATTGCAAGGTCGATGGCGATGTGAAAGTGGATGTTTACTTTTACCTCCTCCCCGTTTGCCGCTGTCCATATTTTTTTACAGAAATCGGACACGCGGGAGAAAGGGGTCGGCAGAGTTCATCTTGGACATCGAAGGACTACTTAGACTGCTCAAGTTATCGGTTTTTAATGCTTAACACATCATCTTCCTCCATATTTTCTGACGCATTTCCAATACCACGCTCACTCCGCTCGTTTCTTCTACTGATTTGAAAATTTGGCGCGATTTAACAAAACATCTGGGCGATGAGCTTGTACATAACAGGCACTACAAGTAATTCATGGATACATGAGACACTGCTTCCGGGAGATATGCCTCGACAAATTACGGAGCACTGAATACGCCATTCGATTACCAACCCGAACCATTGTCTCATAGCTACACTTAGACGGGGCTTAGCGTCCGCCTTATCAGTGACCTGAAGCCAAGCCCCTCGGATCGTCCTCCTTGAGCACGGTCTTAATACATTGCAAAGAAATGGCGTGAACTTCTCGCAACACAGCCAGACATCTCAAGTGTTCAATCCTCCTCTCAGTAGCACTCTCAAACTTCAATTTATTTTGCTTGCATACAAACTTCTCTTTAATTATATAGTACATCAAAGTCTTAATCAAGTGCCATACTTTAGCAGGCCTGCAATCCTTGCAGGTTCACTATTTACCTATGACTATGAATGTCAGCTCCGGTTTGAAACTTCTCATGCCAGTCGCCAATCCAATGTTCGAGGCCGAGCTAACGGGCGAAACGCCAAGGTGATGTACGACCCAGCAAGAATGCTAAATGGCAAACTAGAAGAGGTGAAGAGAGGACGATAAGAAAGAAGCACCAAGATGGAGAAACGGTACACCTGCCACCAGAGATCTCGGTGAGTGTAAAGCACGACAGACTCCAACACAAACATTAAACTCACCAGCATCAATCCAAAAGAGTGTAAAATGTTCGAGGGCGAGGTAACGAGTGAAACACCAAGGTGATGTACAGCCCAGCAGGAACACTAAGCACCGAAGACATGCCTTCATCAATATCTGCGCCAGTGCTCACCCGCGCTACCCGACTCTCTTCCGGCCTGCCGAGTCTTGGACGCCGATCGTGCTGATCGTCGGTGGTCCAGGTCCAGGTGGAGCGCGATTGGAAAATGAGCCCAAGGAGAGGAAGGCGGCGCTGTGGCTGAGTCGTCACGTGCCACGTTTGCAGTCTTAAGCGAGACTCAGACTGCAAACCTCACCGTCAATCCTTCACACGAAGAAGGACCGATCATGACATGAGCCTGCGCCTTGCGACTCGTTCGGGAATGAAATACTCGAGTAGCCCCACTCAATTCTATGTTATTTCGTCCATTTTATTTTTTTTCGCGAACGAGTATATATTGCTGTGTGAACAAGCAGGTGAACAAAAAATAAAATTTAGATAAAATGATATATTAGACTGCCAGCTGCGTGTGTTGTTCAATATCCGTGATCGCGGAATTTCAACAATGTGAGCGCGGGGATGCTTTTCTATTCGAGAACAGCGACTGGGCAATAACCAGACATGGAGATAGCGGAGTGCCATCGAGACCGCTGCACGGAAGCATCGATATTGCGACGGTGTAGTTCAAGACAAGGGCGGCATCAGTCACGGTGAACCGGTGAGTTCTTGCTGGCGATTATGCTGATTGCGGTGCATTTACATGGTCATATATTGCTTTATATTCCAATGTGACGAAATCCTTTCCGATATTGCGACGGTGTAGTCCAAGACAAGGGTGCATCAGTGAATTGGTGAGTTCTTGCTGGCGATCATGCTGATTGCGGTGCATTTACATGGTCATATATTGCAATCAGGAGTTTTACGCCTATTATTGATCTTGATTCTTGTAACTATCCTTCTTGTAGTTGCCGAAACCCTGCTGGCAGCTGAACGGAATAATGTTTGTTTTCTAGGGCACGCGTGCCATCACGGGCACACTTCGGGATGTTGCCTTCGCGACCAGCTATCAGTATAACTCTGGAGGTTAGCCTCATCCTTTCAGTGTCATCAGTAAAAACAATATAAATTCAACGCGGTTGAGTTGCAAAAACCTCAGAGACGAATACCTCATTTGCGGTGAGTGGCCCTCTTGCGCTACATTATGCATTCATCACTGAATCAACACATAGCTCTTCTAGGACTTGCCATAGCTGCAACTTTGCGTACATCACATTGCCTAATATCCACGGCTGTCACTGAAGTATAGTCATACCAGGTACCATGAAGCCTATTCAGTTTGTCTACTTGGCCATCCTTGCCGCTGTCACTGGGGTGAAGGCAGCTCCCCCCGAAAACTGTTTGGACTCATGCTGGGCTTACCAACCCCCCGCTGATATGTGCGGGCAAGAGATGATGGTTCCGTTCCAATACGGCAACTGCTGGACGTGCTGTACTACTGAAGATTAGCTACCGAGTTTTACCAATGACATGTTGCATCTATGCATCTATGCAAGTGTGGAGTTAATGGGTTATGAAAAACTACCTAGGAGGTTGCGCAAAATCATTCTCCACTAGAATTTAATCAATTAGAATTGGGATCATATCACCAATGAGAGGCACCGACTGTAAGTGAAACCACAGTAAATGTTCGTTCTAGCATTAAACAAGTCGTACCTGTTTGTCAGCTAAGGTGCGTCCTGATATTTCATGTTCGTTTCACAGGTTAAGTGCTGTGTAGGCAAGTTGCGAGTCACAGAATCGACACCAGCGAGCATTTATCTCGTTGGTCTTGAACTTCACGTTGACTCGACCGGTGATAGGAGTGCCGTCTTTGACACCTCCGTCTTGCAAATCAAACACCTGATTAGTCTTGAAATTGACGTTACAGGTCTTGTAAGTGCCGGAAAATGAGATATCAGAATGCTAGACATGATGAGACGAGCTAAGAGTCTGTGACTTGGAGCAAATACGATTGAGAACTGGCTTGATGAAGGCGAGCGTCGAGCTTTATATGGTTTGTAGCAGGGGACAATTGCCTTGAAAGGTCATTGTGTAATATCACAATGTCCAAGCTTCTAGGATGCGTTTGGGTATTTGGGCGCAAATCTAGCGCCATCCAGAAATTCTGGAACGAGCATACCTGACGAGCAGAAAATCTTTGACTGTGACAGGTCATAATATGTCCCTCCGAGAAGGGGGCAAAGGAACTGACTTCTTTTGTTGCGCGGCGAGCCAACAGAGACTCGCGATTGGAGATTGCAAAGCAGTGAAAATGAAAGAAGTAGTCCCGACTCCCCATGAAGTCTGAGGAGTCTGAACGCAGATCATACTCAGGATCTCTACACCGCAAAACGTTGTCAGTAGGTTACGAACTCACTCCAAGAGAAACAGATTTTGACTCTGTTGTGGCAACCACTTGGCTAAGATAAGTTAGATGGACCTCCGAGGAAACCATCTGAATGACATGTTCAAATAGAAGATACACCTGTCATTCGGCAGGTTTCGGACCTGCGCAGACACAGAGAAATAGATTTTGATTCCGTTGTGATAACCACTTGGCTAAGACCAATTAACGTGAGCATCCAAGGAAACCATCCATGAATGAATGTCAAAGTGTGTTCCGATAGAAAAAGAACCTTTCGTTCGGCAGGTTTCTAACCCTCACAGGCAAAGAGAAACAGGTTTTGATTCTGTTGTAGCAACCACTTGGCTAAGACCAGTTCAGATGAGCATCCAAGGAAACCATCCATGAGTGAACGTCAAGGAATGTTGTTCGGATAGAAAAAAACCTTTCGTTCGGCAGGTTTCTAACCTGCGCGGGCCACGAGAAATAGATTTTGATTCTGCAGTGGTGACCACTTGGCTAAGACTAGTTAGGATGAGCATCCGATGAAACCATCCATGAGTGAATGCCAAGGTATGTTCGGATAGAAAAAAAAGTTGTCGGCAGGTTTTGACCCTGCACGGCCCAAGGGAAACAGATTTTGACTCCATAAACCACTTGGTTAAGACCAGTTAAGATACACCTCCGAGGAACTGTCCATGAATGTATCTTCAAGGCGTGTTCCGAAAGAGAAAAAATCTTGTTGTCGGCAGGTTTCGAGCCTGCACTAGCACAGTTCAAGAAACAGATTTAGATTCTGTTGTGGTAACCACTTGCGCCAGGATGGAGTTGAGATAAAGCTAGGAGGAAACCATCCATAAGCGAATTTTCAAGGCGTGTTCTGATAAAAAACTTGCCGTCTACAGGTTTCTAACCTGCGCAGTCCAAGGGAAACAGATTTCAATTCTGTAGTGGTAACCACTTGTCTAAGACCAGTTAACATGCTCCTTCAACGAAACCATCCATGAGTCAATGTCGAGGTATATTCCAATAGCAAAAAACCTTGTCGTCAGCAGGTTTCGAACATGTGCACGCCAAGATAAACAGATTTCAATTCTATTGCGGTGACAACTTGCCTAAGACGAGTCGAGACGAACCTCCAAGGAAACCGTCCACGAGCCAATCTTCAAGGCGCGTTCTGATAGAAAAAAACCTGTTATCGGCAAGTTTCAAGCCCGCGCAGTCGAAGAGAAACAGATTTTGATTCTGTTGTGGTAACCACTTGTCTAAGACCAGTTAAGATGCACCTCCGACGAAACCATCCACGAGCGAATGTCAAGGGGTATTCAACAGAAAAAACCTTGCCATCCACAGGTTTCGAACCTGCACAGTCCAAGAGAAACAGATTTCGATTCTGTTGTGGTAAGTACTTCGGCCAGAACTGTTTTTGATTAGAACTATCCATGAGTAGAGGGGAAATCATTTATCGGCAGGTTTCGAATCCGCACCACCCAAGAGAGCAGAGATCTAATCTGTTGTGGTGCCAGTTGGATATGGCCACTGAAAGATCCATCCATGAGTGAATGTTCAAGGCGTGGTAAAAGGAAAAAGATTGTCGAGCAGGTCCGCTTTCGAACCTGCAACATATATCTGTCCTGTCACGCTTACCACTTGGCTGAGACTGGTGAAGATGGACGTCTACGAGTCGAAGGATATCATACATTGACAGTAGAGTCAAGTAGCATTAGCAGTCATTTGCCAACGCAAAATGAAATAAAAAGACTGGTTTGCATTTAATTCGGTGGACACAAAACGTGCCAGGAATAAGCGAGTCGGGGGCTGGCACCGGCACCGTTATTATTGAGAGTTCATTCCATACAGATAGGCAAACACTCAACAGGACACCTACCCAAGATGTTCTGCAGATATATCAAGCACGCGACCGCGATGGGGAGAAGAAATTCGTTTAGCGTGTCATAGAAGTGCGATGGTTAGGTGGAATATGCTGACGATGATGCAGAATGAAACCCCAGCCCCAGTGCGGGGTTGCAGCTGTAATTATATGAGTTGCAAGGTAGGATGTCTTCTAAGCATGCCTGCATCAGCCGCCCGCTGAATTTGAATCTAAGACTAAAGGAACAGTTGGATCCCAATCACTATACTGGGGCCTGAGAGCGTTGTCATTAGCGTAGACATTGGCAAAATGACCACTAACGTATGGCACAGAGTGTTGAAGAATCGACTGTAAGACAATCACGCTCAACTAGAGCTCTGACGATGAATCCACTTGTCCCACTGTTCAATTAAGCAGTAGCTGGGTTCTTGAATCTCTCGTCAGATAACTTGATATGATACGACCGGTGCTTGATTTCGAAATTTTGTCCGATGACAAGGCGCTGTACACTGTTACTTCCCGAAGCAATTCGAGGGGCACCACAGCGTTCTTCGAGATTAAAATGCGTGATATATTTATGAATGATCGTCAGAATAACCACGAGCGATGCCACTACGACCTTGCTCCAGGACAGACGGACAATCTTCCCCGATTTTAGTCTCCAGCCCTTGATAGGAGCGGGAGTGAAGAAACAATGCTGCGCCACACATCATACAAAGAACATCATACGGCAGCTGATCACTCACCTGCCGCACTGTTAGCTAATTTCGAGAGAGCACCATCTTGGTTTCGAAGAGTAAGAGAAGCTGACGTTCCCTCGGTTGACGTCTCATTGTCTTCACCTTTGGGGTGTAAGATAAGATTAAGTATGTCGAGATTGTACTTACTCCCGTAGCG